AAAAAAAGATGATAACTTTTTTCAAAATCTCAGTAAATTATAATTAATAAACTACATACAATAAACCTCTAAAATGAAAAAGAACAACTTTCCAGAAAACCCAAAACATACATCAAAATCACCTGAAATCTCAATCTCTCCGTAAATTGTGTGCACGAATTACAAGCTTCGTGTTGAAATGTTCTCGAATAAAACATACAGTGTCAACGTACGTACCTCTCGTATAGAGCGGTGGGTTCTTTGAGCAAACTTGCTGAAATCTTTAATGAGCACGTCCTTGATCAAATCCAGGTCCTTCAAAATCAACAGCGGCTCATGGCCTCCATAGACTCCGATCATCTGTTCGTCTTTGAATTCGTTATAGACCTTATGGAAATAGTCAGTGGTGGACTCTTTTCCCAGCAGCACATCCTTGAAGCCACCCAAAAACGGTAGAGGCTTCGGTCCCTTCACGCCATATTTCTTCCAGTAGCTTAACTTTATCTTCGAGTAATAATAAAGCAGAACGAATACGGTAGCGATCAACGCGACGGTCTCTATCATTAACCAAGACATCCTGAATCTCTCTAAGCAGTCTAGCCGAAATTTCACCGAGGTTTCGAAAGGAAACTTTGCACGATTCCCGAAATGGGATTCGCGAGAATGAAATTCAGTCAATTGAGAATCTCTTCTTCTCTTCTATGGCCCAGTCCGTACGAAAACGTCTACTCGACGATGTCTCCAAGAATGCGGACCTGCTAATATGCTTTCCCTCTTAAATACACGCGAGTGTCGAAGTTTATCGACATGTACGATGATATCCCCTGTTCGAAGACGTATTCTGAAATTCGATTACGCCGCCCAAACCGCCCCATCGAGCACCCTCCGCGTCCATCATCACCGCCATGTTGTCGGCCAGGCGACCTTGTTGGCCTGTCAGCGCGAAGACACGGTCTGGCGATGGGAATCGCGTTGCATTCTTTGAGAGGATCTCGATACTTTCACGTCGATTCAGACGCACTTTCGCGAGTAGATGGAAAACTACGTTTTGTTATGGAAAACTTTTGCTGCGGATTTTTTGTACCAAAGTCGTTCCAACTGTGTTGTTCTGTTACAGATGATGCAACGTTAAGTCGAGCTGCGTGAAAATCTTTGGATACAATACGGCCAGTAGAATTGATTTAATTGTATAGTTGGATAACAGGAAGACATCGTCCAGTGAATAGAATGAATTTCAAAGAAAGATGATAAACTGTAAGTAATATTTTATAACATTAATTTAATCAATACCGTGCTGTAAATTTGTACACCTATTTATGACAAATTAATAACTTATCATGGAGATTGTAGATGTCTTTTTAAAATTCCACAGTTATTTATTTTTATTTTTCGCATTAAACTTTTCGATTATGGAACGAAATTGTTTAATAGAATACTTGAAACTGACCTGGATTTGAGATCAATCAAATTTTGTCAACAAAAGTTCTTACAGAAAGACTACAAAAATATACTTTTTTGATATTTGACTTACAAAATGTGGAATCATCTAGTGAATATTAGAGCCATGTAGCTTTAAATGTTTGATTTTATTTCATGTTTTATATAAAGATTAGACATTTGAAAAACGACCTTGAATTAAGATTGGAGAAATCTATCCAACTCTGTAGGACTGTATCGTACAAATTACTATTGATAATTGCATTGTCTCAAAGCATCACCTAAAGCCATTAAATTAACTTTCAAGGCGCTTCAACTTCAATTAAAATCTCCAAATTTCCAAGCGAACTTCTCGAGGCTGCCAATAAGAAAAATTCCATCAACAAGCAGGTAGATATTGAATTCCAAGAGGCAAATATTCCTGGCCACGCGAATCCTCGGTATCCCTGGCTTGGAAACATATTTCCAAGGTGGGTATCAAAGCGCTTTCAGCAACAAGTGCCAGAAATTCTACGACTTTGCGGGAACCACAGCCCGACCTAGGGGAACCGATTCTTAATGGACACCATTTAGATTCAGCGATATCGTGCCGAGAGAGTGAAGAAAGAAGGGAGCGCAGAAACACCGAGCCGAAGAATATGCATCTGGGAATGACTTTAGACGCAAACTCGCGTGATAGTTTCGTAAGATGTTTGCTGGAAGCTGTCCTTTGATAGTTCGCCAACGATATATACCGAGCGCACAGAGACTCGAGGTGTACGATGGAGATTCTCTGATAGGCGGGCTGTTGAATAATTTCACGTTTCTGCTTCCCTGAGTAGCGACGAATTTCGTACGCGTTCGAGAATATTCGTTGAACTTGCCGCGAAACATTGAGAAAGATTGTTTCAGTCGATATATACGGGTTTAACGTATTAATAATATGTAGCCAGCGAGTATCAAACTTACCGTTCGCACTATGGATTTTAAACGAGTTTTGCAAACTTGATTCGATTTCGATACGCGTGGAACACAGTTTCATGCTGGTGCGACAGCGGTTTTCGCACGAATAGATCATATTCGTTCACGTTTAACATTTTAAGTTTAACAACTCGAAGTTTTAGTTATTCGTTTCGCTTCGCTTCTGTTCAATAAAGTTTTGAAATTTACCAGGAAAATGTAAGAATCGTTATTGATAATTTTCCTCCTTTTCCCCTTGATAATAATTAACCCTGCTACGATCCTCTATCTTTTCTATTTCAATCTTAATCTTGTTTTAGCAAATAGAAAGAATTTACGATATATTTTTAAGAAGGTATTTAACATAACTTTTAACTAATGAGAACCTTTTTAGATACGAAGTTTTCTTATTTATATTTTTAACGATAGAAAAATGGAAAAAAATGGCCAAAAACACGTAGCAGGATTAAGTATCTACATAATTAATCCACTTGATATATCAATATATTTAAGTTAATAATAACTAATAATAGTTATTTAAGTTAATAAAAATATTTTTATTTAAACATCCTTTTGCTTCTTAAAATAACAGTGAAATTAGAAAATAGAAATGCGATAATCTCAACAGAGTTACGGTGAAAATGAAATCTTGAAAGCTCAGTGACAATTTTCTATCGATTATCTGTTTGAATTTCTAGAGAAATTTAATAATAAAAAATTGTATATCCTTTACAGAATTTGAATTTGAACAAAAAATAACGAATTCACGTAAATACTACAAACGAGCACGATACAGAGATTGATAAAATTTTTTAAAAAATTTGGAATACACAATATAAATTAAAAAAACTTCCGTTGCAGATGATAAATCTGTAACTATCAGAAATTAGATCAAATATATTGCGTTCACATCTGATTCGCATTTCGAAGCATTTCGGAAAAAAAATGATATTGCTATAGATATAATTGTACTCGAATCAAATAATGGAATCTTTCACATTAAACTATGATTGAATTTCTGTTTCTGAGCGAAACAGAGAAACCAAAATGGTTTTTTCTAATAATAAAATTCCATTTTACATTCTACCATAATTCGTGATGATACAATTCGAGTTTGTATAATAATCATCACCTTAACGAAATAAAGAAAGTCAAAAACATGTTAATAATTCAATTCATGTGATTTTATCGAATTCATGATTTTATGATCCTATTAGTAGATATTTGTTACATCTCCTTAATTTTCAATAGAGATACAACGTATGTAATTCACAACTACAACATACTTACAGTTGTTCAACATTGAGATTAGCATATAAAACGAACGATTAAGATTAGAAATAAAATGAAATATGATGAAATAATAAATGTTTAAAAAAACGAAAAGGTACACACTGTGTACAAATTCGCGATCCGGTCATCGCCTTCCCTATCCAAGAATTAACCGGTATGTAACTGGTTAAATCCATAACCTCTGATAGCCTTGCGATAACTTTTTGTTTGCAATATTGAAAGTTTAACGAAATCAGATATATGTACGTTGCACATATAATATCTGTGATGTGTAGTTGTTTGCCAGAATGCAATTTTTACAAAATTCTGCCGAACGTCAAAATAGTTGCTTACTAGATGAAAGGTATGTCATATCAATGACTGTAAGTAGTTCCTGAATAAAAATTTTTAATCAAAATAAAAATCATCCAAATGTCGAAACATTTCTCTTTCTCCTTTGAAAATTATGTAAAATTATTGAACTTTATAATGACGTTTCTTGCTACTCTGGGGGCAATTTGATTGAAAACTGTTTTAAGAAGAGTTAAAATTAAATAGAGCATAGTTGTTTTAATTATGAAATACATTGTTATCGTTAGAAATATTAGAGTTAAATGTATTATTATTGAGAATATGGAGGGATTTTCTTATTGAATATTTTATGATTTTAAAATGGTAAATTTCAAACAAAACTAAACTAAATTTTAAATCAAAACAGGTCGTTTTAAATAAACTTTTCTTTGTCGAAAAAATTATAATCTGTCTTTCTACTGCAACAGATTAATTAATGCAAATTATATTCAAGTTTGTACAAAATATGAAAATTATTGCTTTTATCCATATGCTTCAAAAATAGGGACCTCTTCGGATTTTTTTGATTCTTTTGCAATAAATCATTTTTAATCCTTAACTATATCATTGTCGTATAAAATAATTTGTGTCACATTTGGATTAGATTACTCAATTTCCAATGACTTAATTATTTTTTATTTCACTATATTTTATATTATAAATAATATTTCAATTCTCCTTCAATAACTCCTGCAGTTATCTATGACTCAACGATATCAATTGAGGGTTAGTAATTTCTTACACGAACTTGAACTCGTTGTGACAAATGAACCATAACTTGTTATTATCCATACAACGTTCATCGACAGAATACCTTACACACGTTCGTAAACAATTACAGTTATTAATATTTATGAAATATTTCAAACATATCTTATGAAAGATATAAAATATTTTCATATTATCTACTTTCTTTATTATTGTATTTTAATAATCGTATACACGAAATACTCCAACAGTTGACCAACTAACAATAAGACAAATATTTTTGTTAAAAAATATAAATACGTGTGTGTGATTTTCACTATTAAAAATTTAATAAAAAAGATAATGTCGTAAAGATTCATCGATTGTACTTTTTTCCTATGCTCTTTCATTAATTTCTAATCAAAATAATTGAATCTATGAAATTTGAATCGAATCTGCGAATAGATTGAATCTATTTCAATCTCGTAGCTCACACTACATATCAAAATGCCTATAAATATTTTATAGATAAAGCAGTTGAATTTTTTATCAATTAGATTTCGAATGGAAGAATGAAGCAAACTTTCTCGTAATCTTCTTAGTAATGTCATTTATCATTGATTTATAATTAGAAAATATTTAAAAATTGTAAGATATGTCAATTGATAAGATTAAAGGTGGAAATTTTTAGCAGTACAGTCGTCATTTAGACAGATAATGAATAATTAAAGAATGGTAAAAAGAATTGATAGCAATATTTGGTACCGTAATTGCTACGCAAATATTTTTAAAAAGATCAAGGGTAATCGAAAAATCGTAAAAAGATAACGATATTCTCAACTAAAATTAATTTCTTCAAACATACAGTGATTCTTATTAATTTTCGGTGCTCGACAGATCATATACTTCATATTCGTTTATGATAGTTTTATTGAATTAATTGTCTTATATATATAAAACAATTAATTCAACAATTAATATTTATAAAACAATTAATTCATATATATAACAATAATTAAATGTATCATATATATATATATATAACAATAATTAAATAATTAAATATATAGAAATATAAATTTTATTTACTGCAGATAATTTTTTGTATAAGAAATAAAAAACAAAAGATTTAGACAATGAACAAGTTATATAAAATTTACATTAATCTTATATATCTTGGGTAGATACATTGTATGTTTTATATGTATATGTAAAATTAAT